AAGATTTATTTTTTGATAAGTCACTATCCTTTTTTAAGGACATTTATTTTCCCACAGGACACTTGGTTCTTTTCAAAATTTAATAGTTTTTCCTCTTTATAAGGATAATTTATTAATAGTTAAGGTTTTAATTGTTTATACTTCCTTTTGTAAGGATATCGAATTTTATTTTTTGATAAGTCACTATCCTTTTTGAAGGACATAAATTTTTTTACAGGACACTTGGTTCTTTTCCTAGTTGGGCGCCAGTTAAGCAAGTCATATTGCTTATTCCAAATAAAACACAAACTTTATTTTATATTAAACACTTTTATTTAATAAATTAAATTAGTTGCTTTGCAACCTTACTTTACTTCCAAAGAAGGACTGCCCCTTGAAGGGTGATGATACCGCCTTAAATACCCTTGTGATCAGCGGTATTCACCTGTTGATGTTGTTGTGCAGAAAAAGGTCGCTATGATGCTATTGCTAGCGACCTAGCAACAGAGTTGTTCTGATCAGACGCACATTACTTCGTATCACGGCGTAGGCTGCTGGCCTACCTCCTAAGCTTGTCAACCAAGCTTTGCTTGCTATGCAGTGGGTGGTAAGGCAGGCAATGCTTATGTGCTGCATGCCCAGCCTGCTGTTGCTAAGGTAAGTGCAAGCAGCGATCACCCTTTGTTGTGATAATAAAACGAGCTCACGCATATGACGTTGCTATGCTGATTATAATATCTGGTTTGTTAGGCAAAGGCAGGTAGTGAGTTGTGGGTTGCTGTTGGGCTGCGTACCCAACTCGTGCAATTGTTGTTGCTATGCTGTGATATCACGCATTTAGGCAAGTTATGTTTCTAATGTAGTTGGATTGTTGGTAAGCTGCATCAACTGACTATTGACGCTTTAGTTTTCTGTTGCCCTGGTATTGCCTATTTCTGCGGCAGGTTATATGCAAGGAAATGCCTTTGTAATGTAGGTGGTGATATCATACCTTAACTTACATAATGAGGCCGGTTATCGCTAGTGCTGCTTCAGTTATAGCACTACTTTTGGCAAGGCCTGATGGGCTTACTTTCATGGGTGCTTGGGAGTTTCTGTAGCGAATTTTCGACCCATCTACCCATCATCATGCTACTGAGTTACTAAACAGAAGGCTACACAGCCAACACAGAGCTAGTGAACATTGTAGAGCTGTTAAGCATATCGCTAAAAAAGGCTGACTTCCAAAACGCACCAATACACAATGTTTGGATACTGTTCTACTGCGGTATTAAAACTGTTTGCATATGCAGAGTTGCGAAATATTGCAACCATATACATTGCATATTTTGAATATTTAATAAAACCATGATCACCATTTCAAAAATTTGCATTTTTAAAATACCAACGGTAACTAAAAACAAACGAAGCATCAACTTTGTCTCTGATGTGCTGATTACTCTAGCGATGCGTTTCGATAAATTTTCGGATGCGTTTTGGAAAAGTATACATTGTCAACCAATTGTAGTTCGGCGTTATGGAACATTAAACTTTGTACGTATGCAATGCAATTGACGTTTTGGAAGTCAGCCAAACAGTTATTTAGTGAGGTTGATCAACCGTGGAAGGCCTACGAGTTTTCAGCACCCACAGCTACAGTAGAATTTTCTCATATATCCCTTTATTTAAATTTTTTATTATTCGCTTACTCAAATTTTGGAGCTTATTCTTCAAAAAATCCTATTTTTAAGTCATTATATTAAGTTTTGCAAAGACGCTTACAATTTTTGCAAATATCCCCAGCGACGGATTTTTCCTGAGGCCCAATAGGCCCGTACCTACGGTGGCCAAATATTAGGGGCGGCCAATATAGAAAAAAATACATTGATGGTATCAAGATAAGCACGTGTAAATACGTGTTAACTAAATTTAGCGACACTTAACCCTTAAAAGATATGTGGTTATGAAAACACCCAGGTCTAAGGAACGTTATAATACATTTTTGATGTGTATACATCTTTGGTTTCGGTAGGGGTAAAATTTGCGAAGCTGTAACGCATATCCCAGCACAAAATTTCGAAGGGCTTACCATGTGTATTTCAGCATAAAATTTTTATTTTCATTAGAAGCACCCTGTGTTTGCTTGCCAAATGGTTGCATACATTTAGGCATATGCATAGTAAGAGGAAATTCGCTTCAATTGATTATTACTTCCGATTATTTAAACTCCGCACATGCATACGGCTTTGTACCTATGTATGTACATAAATATGTATGGACTCATTTGTTGCAACTGGGCATGAATCACGTAACTTTGAAACGATAGTCGTTCAAACGATACTGACAAAACGATGTTGTCAAAACACTGATTTATGCATTTGTGTTGCGGTTACGTGTTAATAGCCGTCATCGATTCGCCACTTCGCTGCTTGCTATGTCTGAGTTCCGGTCGCTTAACGAAAAATTTTGCATGTGAAAGCAACAACAAAGTTATCTAGCACGGATAGACGATAGCGAGTTTGTATTCGTTCGTTTCGCCACTCGCTAACTGTTGGCGAATCGATGACGGCTACAGTTACTGTTACGTGAAGCAAAACTGGAATCGAGTTGACGATATCGCACAAACGATCAAACAATTTTTGATTTTTATGAAGCAAGACAATCTCGACACGATATCGTTCAGACGAATGTCGTCATACGTGATTCATGCCCTGGTTTTGATATTCGTAGATGGTTTTAGGCATAGGTTTAGTAGTCTATTTTGGTAAATTTAGGAATATATACAAATAGAAATGCTCAAACTATAGGCTTAAAAACAATAACTGATGCGGTGTTTCCAAGATATTTTAACGCCCTTGAGTCACAAGTATATACAAGTATATTTTATCAATCATACCGATAATTTCACGTATTAAAATAATTAAAAATGAAAATGAATAAAAAAATTAAATCAGAAAAATTAATAAACTTAAGTGAAATTAATGTTTAATTTCTAACCTAACCTACATTTGTATGTATGTAACTGAATCGCTTAATAATAGCTTTACATATAAAAAGATTATCCTAATTTTCGAGCTTAACTCTCTAATCTGTTATTAGAAAAAGAGATTAGCCATGCAGAATTATAATTAAAAATATCTCAGATTAAACCGATAACTTTTTGGTGTCCAACTTCGTTTTATCGATTATACTTGCGAAGAAGAGGAGGAATTTCAAATATTATAGTAAACAAAAAATGACGCTAGTAAGGAAAATAGGTTTGTAAAGGTATTTTTGATAAAATATTCAGTTATAAATATATTTAAATGGCCTAATATGTGCTGCAAAAAAAAGTGACCACGGTGGCACAGAGAAGAAGTTTAACTTTTCCTCGAGTTGTGTGAATAACAAGCACAACCAATTTGACAGCTACCGAGCTTTGATTGAGATTATATTTATATGTAAACGTACTTTTATGCTTTGCCGTTCGTATATGTATACACATCAAATTTCATGAGTACCTAGTACTCACGCCGCTTAGGAGGTAGGCCAGCAGCCTACGCCGTGATACGAAGTAATGTGCGTCTGATCAGAACAACTCTGTTGCTAGGTCGCTAGCAATAGCATCATAGCGACCTTTTTCTGCACAACAACATCAACAGGTGAATACCGCTGATCACAAGGGTATTTAAGGCGGTATCATCACCCTTCAAGGGGCAGTCCTTCTTTGGAAGTAAAGTAAGGTTGCAAAGCAACTAATTTAATTTATTAAATAAAAGTGTTTAATATAAAATAAAGTTTGTGTTTTATTTGGAATAAGCAATATGACTTGCTTAACTTGTACAGACGATGGATGTTTACAAGAGTACGTTAGTTCCCTCTGACTATAGTAGAGCCTTGGAGCTGTACAAGGCTGGGATCGATAAAGTAGCGTAACTCTATCCTAGAGAGAGATATTATAGCGAGGAGCGACAACAAGGTTAACTACGGCTCCGGGAAGATCACTCTTAAGGACTTCGAAGCTGACACAGAAACTTAAGTTATTTAGCGGCATTCGAGGAAATAATAATTTTTTCAAAATTTTTTAAAATTTTTCAAAAAGGAAAAAATTTCCTTTTTGTTTTGGAACATCTTTAACTTTATTACTCTGCACATCAAATATGTTTTGCTTACCTCTTTTAGTTTATCTTCATCCCGTAAGTAGAAGGCAATATAGAATAATGATAAAAATGAATTTACGAACTGGAAAAGTGCAACTTTTGCTATAAGATGGTTTTCGTATTTAGACTGGAGTCGGTAATTCTCTACAATAAAGATAAAAAGCGTGTAATTTAATTTACTCTCGAAGTAAGTCTACAAATTTAAAAATAATAAAGTGTATTTCTTCTCTTGTAGTTTCGATTCTGGTAAAATTTATATGAACATCTTAATATATTATCGCACACCGTCTTCAAAAGAGTCACACCACCCTGGTGCGAAATAAAGTCAATTGACATTATTACCCGCGGAACCCGCGCGACCGGCGCGATACACCACGTCACCCTACGTCGCGGCACCTCTCCCCTTCCCCCGCTCCCCCGTGCTATACCGCAGAGCAACAACTTTTCTGCAGTAAAAAAGCATATAATTTGTGTTTCAAAAGTGTGTAAAAACCAACCAACTTACATGATCTCGGTTCCCATATTAAATAATCAATAATTGTTTATACCCGCATTTTGGCACATTGGCTTGGCCATCTAATAATGTCGTCGTACCCTCTAGCTGCTTTTAAATGATGTCGTCAAAAATTGCTGGCGGAGACATGAATACAGTGCAAGAAAACTCCTTGTCTATTATTGTTTCCTTATAGAAAGGTTGGTTTTTTCCACCTTAGACATTCCGAAATCGTTCAGAATATGCTAACTTAAAACAAAAAATTCTTTCAGTGTTCCTCCGGGGTTTTTGGACATAGACCGTTTCTTCAATTTAATAGTGTTCGCTTTATTTTTGTGGACACGGAACATGTTTTGCAAGTTCTGGATCATTTCTACACTCTTTCTTCAAATATTTCTCGTATTCGTTTTGCGTTTGGTTTTTCGCATCGTGTTTTTCCTATATTCGTAAATTTCATTCATGATTGTGTGTAGATTAATAGCACCACACTGACGATTTGGCAACTACCTTTTTCATCTCTTAAAAAACAGCACTTACGGGCAATGTTTATTGTAAGAACATTTTTTTCTATGAATCGACATACTTTACAGGCTAACCTAATATTCGCGGCTTGCGTTTTGGTACGCATGCCGTCGAATTTGTTTTTTTGCGTCACCCGAAATTGACTTGCATGCGTTTGCATTTGATTTCATTGAGCGAAACGTCAAATCAAAATGTCACGCAGAACAAAAATTGGAAATTGAGTTAGCTTCATACGCACGCCGTTCAATTTCGGTTGATCTCATACAAGTTGCATGTGCATGAGAAATTTTTGACAATAAATTGGCGGCGTGCGTGAATATTAGGTTAGCCTGTTAAGCATTGTTTACGCTATTTCCATTTGAATGAAGAAATAGCGTCAATGACTTTATTTCCAATTTTTTTTTTACTTTATTTCGCTTTTGAAAAGGTAATAATGTAAGGTAGTGTGGCAAATAAAGTCAATTGACCTTATTTCCGTTGATCTTGTTACCTGTCACCGATAATCAAGGGCAAGGGCGACCTTAGGTATAACAAATTAGAACAAAAATTTGACCCAGCTTTTGCTGAAAGGTAAATGAAAGCTCTGTGTGCATTTTTAGCGCATAATCTCAAAACTGCCAAATTTTTAGTTGCGACTATTTTGAAGACGGTGTGCGATATGTAGAAAGGACCGGTATAACACTTTTGTTTCTTTACGGAATAATTAAAAATCTTCATAAAAAGTGAAGTTCTTCAGGAGCAATTTCTTTGAAATACTGTAGCAAATTTGTTTATGTGGTAGCTGTATTTAAATTCTATACGGTTTTTATACGTAGTATTTCGACTTTTCTGTGTTTTGATTTCCCTTCTATATTAAGGTGACAATTTATACATAGTTGGGCATGCGTATTGCAAATCATAACCCACCGTGATCATTCAGCCAAACGGCCAATTTATAATATGCCTCGTCCATTAGCGTTATAGCACCAGCCAATAAAACCTTTGGGATTACGCTCAAGCAGCAGAGTACGCTTTCTTCCGGTAGCTTAGAGTCCCACCAATCCTACAAAAAAGAAACATGTTTATATAAATGTATTCGACATCTACCTATACATACAAGGGCGTTTGTACTCATACATACGATCTCACCTAGTCGATATCCATAAATGTATCCTATCTTGAACGCCTGAGATGAACTAACTTACATAACTTTATAGTCATATACTCAATCCCGATTGTTTGATCATATTTCAAAAACTGTTGATGTATGTTCACATATAAATATTATCTCAATCAAAGCTTGTTTTCAATCACCCCGTTTACACAGGCAAATCTCAGATTATTAGCCGTAAAATTTTTTGTGCTTGTTATTCTCAAATCTCAAGGAGAGGTTATGTTTCTTCTCTGTGGCACCGTGATCACTTTTTTCTGCTATATAAAGCAATTTAAATATGTTTTAACTTAATATTTTATAAAAAATACCTCTACAAACCTCTTTTCCTTGCTAGCGTTCATTTTTGTTTACTTTTACATTTGGCATTTCCCCTCTTGTTCGCAAAAAAAACCCATAAAAGCAGGTAGTACACCGAAAAGTTATCGGTTAAATCTGAGATTATTTTATAATTACAGATTAACAAAGGATGCATTTTGTATGGCGAATCTCTTTTTCTAATTACAGATTAGGGAGCTAAGCTCGAAAATTAGGAATATCTACTTATATGTGAACCTAATCTAAGATAAACTATCCTACTTCCATTGTGTTATGTTATGGAGCTAGGACAAGGTAATAGGCATAGGATAGTTTGATGGCTATCGACCAGTTGAAATATTTTTAAGATAATAATTTACAGTTAAAATTTTATAATCAATACCACACAACAAGGCATGTCCTTATAAGGGGCACAATTAGGGATGCAAATTTTGGGGCGTAACATCAGTAATATATATATAGCGGTTCTGGAAGCGGAGCAGCTACTATATGGTTTGCTCATATACATATATGCTCCAACGTCAGATATCCTTCGCTAACCGCCACAAGATGTCCGGAGCAGCAGCGCAGATAGCTGCTCCAGGTCTGGAAGCCCCATATATGTAGTTTGCTGCTGCTCCGAATGCTCATATACATATATGAGACATTCTTTTTCATATCGGACACCAAATTTGGTGTCACAATTTCGATTGGCTTAAAATTTTTGTTATGGGTTCTATACATGAAATAAGCTAACACGTGTTCGAGGATTTTTTTTTCGCTTTTCTCTTTGGAGATATGATCTGTCAAAGTTTGGATTTTTTCGTAATTCTGACTAATCATGAAGGAGTACATCGTCATATCTCGGGTCATGCCCATCGTAGAAACTTCATCTTAACGTCGTAATCCTTGTTTAATTCTCTACAAAAAACTTGGTTCAAAAAATTGGCGTTTTTCAAGAACTATTTTTAAAATATTCTTCTTTATGAAGAGATGGTTTATCTTGTGAGAATCAACAATTTTTTTGTAATTTGTTTTCGAAAACTTATGTTGAGATATATTTAGTAAGGTGTTAAACATAGTATCTTTAATGCAATCTTTCCAACAGCAGTGTATTCTGCATATACTTGCATCCGGAACTCTCTTGGCTTCCTTCGTAGCATTTAATATTCAAAGTGCTGTCTTCACTGAGGTCCAGAAGGTTTTCAAAAGCTTTTCGGGCCACATGAAAACAGGTTTGTTATCCAGTTGAAGCCATCCTCATCTTCTAGTGGCGGCATCTTCCTAGTCGCCAGGGAATACCGAGGGGGCATACAGTGACTTCTTGTGGCGTTTTCTGCCTCTTGCTTCATCCTAAACATCGCTCCTTTCGTTTTTCCAATCACCGCAAATATCCGCACACTTGCTCCATTTCAAACCATTGTTCTGTACAAATTTTTCGATAGCTTTAAAAATTTCGTTGCTAGTGGCGTAAGTCTCAAATACTTCGCTCTTCTTCGATTTGCATTGCGAATGAGTACCTCACTAACACGAGAAGACTGAGTACCTCACTAACACGAGAAGACTGCCTCTAAAATCGTGTTGATTCGCTCTTTGACAGTGTGATTGCGAAGTTCCAAAGAAAAAGTAATATATACACGTGCGCGAAGCTGCTGCCCTTGTTACAAGAAGAGCCCAGTCAGCAAAAAATCCGAAAATTTTTCCGAAAACGGGAAGAAAAGTGGATGAAACGCGGATTAGGTCGACAAAAGTACCGAAAGTGGTTGTGAAAAGGGTACGTTTTCGGCTATTGGCTGCCATGATGAAGTTTGATCAAACCGCTTGCGTTGTGTATGGAAAGTCTAAAGAATTTGCCCGCACCACTAGTACACTCTAGCCACTAGCGGCACCCTAGGCATACGCTCGAGTTTAATACTCAAGTCAGGAAAGTTATAAAAAAAAAAAATATTTTTATATTTTTCTGAGCAAGAGCTCTTTATTTGAATTCGTATAATCTCGAACTGCTTACATGTTTATGCTTACATCCTATTTATACCATTTCTACTACTGATGATAAATGGTGTTTGTTATTGGTTTAGTGATTAAATTTGTTATTGAAGGTTGTTTACAATGTTATCATATTCTTTTGTTACTTATGAGACAAACTTGTTTATTTGTACATTATAGTTTATGTATATATGTAATGTATGTGACCAGGCATGTTAGCTATGTATGTAGTGTATGTATGTATGTAATATATGCAGTATATGTATTAAGGTCGTTAACTCTCCCCGGTGTTAAAAATGAAATGTCCTCATTTCGAAGGGCTTAGGTTTTGACATCTTTGTAATTCGGTTAGGTAAGCTAATTCGAAGTTTCTTCGACGTTTGGTGCTTAATTGTAGTTGTCGATATGTATGTAATCTTATAATTTAGTATATAAGTAGAATTAGTATAATTATTATTATGGTTAAATATAAAGTAAATTTCCAAGGATGTTCTTCAATTGGAATCACTAATTTATACATTTCTTGTATATTGGTAAATTTATAATCTGATTCGGAGTTTAAAATTTTCAATATATTAACTTTTTCGTTTTGATGGGCATGTATTACATTTTTTATTTCCTGTTTATGGTTAATATAAGTTTTATTATCAATAGTTGTATTAAAATTGAATTGGATTAAATGTGGACCGTTTACTTTGAGTCCGTTCCATATGTGTTCATAGTCTATAATAATGTTACCATTATCTAATATTTGTAAGGGAATGTTATTTTCTTGGATAATATTACAGTGAGCATTTTGTTTTAATAATAAAGGAATAGTACAATTATCC